TGCCATGTCACATCTAATTTGGCCCTAACTTTCATGTAAGTAAATATAGGTTTTTTTAAGCTAACCTTGCTAATGTAAGTATTTAATCTGAAACAGTGAACCAAATCATGCTATGTTTGCACTATCATTCCAAAACTTTCATTTTCTAGTAAGTTCATACTTCATGGCCAAATTGTGCAGCTCTTCTCTGAAAAAATGGTATTGCTATTGTTGAAGATATGGCTTATTACATTAATCACATCAGTATTACACCTAAGACTGTGCTAAAGTTGTTTATTCAACATCAGAGAATATAAATGGAGAAATCAAACAATATGTATTACTTATTTACTTGTAACATGTAATGATTTATCAGCAGTCATTGTCCACCTGACATATCCTGTCACCCAGGTTATTGTACAAGAGAGCTGCTAATTGCAGCTGTTAAGCACATGTTAATAATGAGATATTCTGTATTGTTTTTATAAACTGAGGCTCTCTGACAGTGAAGTGCTGTTAACTACAACTGGAGAGCAATTTTGAACATCTGCTTTTCACTACAAAATAAATATTGGTCTACTTAGCCAAGATTTGGCTCATAAATATTCATGTGCCCCATCCAAAGCATTACCAAATTGAACATTGAAGAACATAGGTCTTTAGCTTCAGAAGACCCAAACAAAAGAAAAGGTTTTTTTTCTTGTAGTCATGCAACTTCATAAACTTGAAGTTACCAGCTGCATGTACTGACATCTATTTAAGTTTCCCAGCATTATCAGCAGGAGAATGCTTAGAGCTATGGAAGAGTTTATGAAATTCACAAGAAACATTTGATGACCACCTCTCCTAAATATCTTCTGAATATATGTATTTTTTCCATATCAGTACTTGTAGTCTGAGGAGCCTGGTGGGGTTACAAATTTGGGTTGGAACCCAGTTTAGATGCTTGCATCCAGGTCAGGAGAACTGAGACTTCCTTGTTCCCTTCCCCCCAGTAGCTTTTCCACCCCACTGAGAACGTTACAGAGAAGGATGGGGAATTGGTTCTGCCCATGGAATGAGCAGTGGTTCAGAGCAGGGAAGGAAGGATCCTCCAAAATCAGGCAGAGGCACCTTCTATGAACAGATTCCTTCCATCAACAGAAGGCAGGTCCTGGAACCAACCCAACATGTTTTGGTAGAGGTAGTTTTTCATTGATCAGTTTTGCCTTTTCTGGTTACCAAGATTAACATTTATACTGTGACATTTTCAAGTACAGACTTTTCTGAGTTAACACTGTAGTCAATTATTAATTTTAAGAGTAACCATTCTGTATTTACAGAAAGATTTAAATTTCCTGTGCCATAAGTCCACACGGAAAAAGAGGCCATCCTTAGCCAGAGTAAAGAAATTGGCTTCCTTCTGTGCTAGTCTAAACAACAAATTCAGACTTCTTATAGCCTGAGTCAACATGGGATACAGTAGAATACGCTGTATACTCCACCATAGTGTAACTGTCTTCACTTGGCATGGATATTGCCCTAACAAGCATTTTTCCAACTGATGTTACTGTAATTCTGGCAAAGAAAATTATCTCATGTCTTCAGAATGTCTCACTGTCTCCTATTATGTGCAATGCCAATCTGTTTACATGAACCAAGGTTAGGAACAGAAGAAGGGGAATCCATTGGTCTATCTAGTGCAGTTTATATACTGGGCAAATTTTCCTGTCATGCCAGCCCACCCTGGCAATAAGCCAGAAAGTGTTGTTGTTTTTGGCCAACCAAGCTACAGTCTGCCCAACACGTGATAAACTTCCTATAAGTTGTTGCCTCCTCTCTTCCTTGAACCTCCCATGGGTTTCCCAAGGTACATCATGGCAGAACTGACTTGTCTCATGGACCATCCTTGAGAACGGTCAGGATGAACAAGGGAAAAAACCAAGAAGACTTTGCTGATGAGATGCAGCTCTGCTTCTCCTGTTTACCTCATCATATAAGGCTGTGGATGTACTGTATCAGTGCATGACCATGGTGATGCACGGGACCAGGGCTAAGTAACTGAAGCTCAATCAAGGTAAGATGGAGATGCTATTACTGGGTGGTTGCTCTGACTGCATAGAGGGTGCTAAACATGATCTAGATGGGGTTGCATGCCCCTTAAAAGAACAGTTTCATACCTTGAGAATTGCCCTAAAACTCTCATTGCCATTTGGTGCTCAGGTGATCTCAGTGGCAGAGTGTGTTCTGTCAACTTTGGTTGGTAGTCCAGTTACACCTCTATCTGGGCTGGGATAGCCTGGTTTCAGTCACCTGTGCTTTACTGAAAGGCACTCTGTGTGGGCCTGTCCTTGAAGAACAAACCTATATGCATACATCTCTTGCACATTTTTAAAAGGTTCTGCTAGCTATTGTCAGTCCCTCTAGGGTGCCACTAAGTGGATGGAGCTACCAGTGGCTCTCAAAATGGGAATTGCGAAAGCCAGCTATCAAGCCAGGTTTTGTGATCTTAGCAAAAGCAAGCATATGACTAAGCAAGGTTTTATGGAAAAAAAGCCCTTGATCCAAAATTGGATCCAAAGGAGATACAAAATTGACTGGTGAGTACAGCAAGCTCAGGCACTTGTGGGATGAATGGGCTGGTGGGGGCCATGGCAAGTACAACAAGGCATTTTTGCCATTAATACAAAGCAAGTTGCTAGCCAGTCCCCAGTGTCCATCATAGGTAGTAACCCATGATGCGTTGTCATGTTGTACAAACCTAGTCATGGAGTGGTGGTGAGTCTGCAGGCTTTAGATGGGGATATTTCCTAGACCTTCCTGAAAATGCCAGCAATTGAAATTGGAATCTTCTGAATTGAAAACATGCACCCTAGAGCCAAACTACAGCTTTTCCCCATAATTTAACAGGTCAGATTATTTGTCAACTGAGCTCAGTATTTTTAACTCTGGCTATTGCCAACCAGGATCTATATATCATCAGTGGAAGGACATCCCTTGAAAGAGAGACCAGGTTTTCAAGATCATGGAGAGGGAAATAATCCATGGTTGCTTATTTCCCCAGCCCTGTCAGTCATGTGCCATGGGGGTTTATGTAATCACCCTCGGCCACATGTTATATTGTGTGAACCTGGTCAGGGTAGCCTGTTGCTACGGGTAACAAGACAGCTAGAATACATGAGCTTTTGTAAGGTGATCCCACTCAGAATACACGGCAATAAACTATCCCAGATGGGTTTGTACACTGTATAATCCATGCTGTTGAGGGTAGCTATACAAACCTCCTGATAGCACAGCATGGGACAAGTGTGCATGGCGGGGTGGGGGGATAAGCCACCATGACTTATTTCCCTTCCAAGATTGTGTGAACCAGTCCAGAGAGGGTCACTTTAACTGATTTGATGAACCCACACAAGAATGATTATTTGTTCTATCCAGCTTGGGGCTTTCCTGAAAAGAAATGCTTTCATCAATGTGTCAAGGACAATTCTTAAGATCAGTACCTAGGGACTGCTGTCTATTGGTTTATAGCTTTGTTGTTGGTTCTATCTGCTAGTTCACAAGTGAGGTCTTGGTGATCATGTCATGTAGTTAAAACACGGCTTGCATGGCATTAACATAACCTAGTGTTTGTTTTGAAAAGATTGTTTTGTATGTTGCAAGTGCAAACCTTCATAGGTGCTGTGAGTCAATTAAAAATGCTCTCCCTACTCATCTGGTTGATCCGGTTGCAGTTCATGTGGAGGGGAAGTAGGCTATATGTGCAGTAGATAAATGTGATCATTTGAATCATTAACCACCACAGCCACCATCATCAATAAAACTGGAAAAAACCCTAAACAATAATGTCATGCAAAATTCCTGTGATTAGAAAAGGAAAAATAAAAAGAATAAATTCTAAACTACTTGAAAGACCAGTGTGAAAGTCAAGGAGTTGTGCCCCTAATTCACTTGCACTCAAGTGTATCATCATATATGCTTTAGTGTCAGTTATGTGGCAAGTGAAGCATGATTATGACTTGTACTCACCTGGTAATATTTGGTGGATCCGACTCAAAGCTGCTGAAACTGTCTCATGAAACTGTCTTCTCCACAAATCAGCATGAAGATCAAATATTCATTGTTCTTGTATACAAATGAAACTATGGCTGTTCCTTTGATATATAGTTAACTTGCAGTAATAGATTGCCAACAAAATGTGCCACACATGCTCTTACAAACAATGTGCTGCTGCTTTTTTCCTTGTGTTTTTGTGGTCTGCGTTTCCCTAAAGCAGGATAAGATGCTTGTAGCCTTGCTTAGATTGCAGCTCCGTCCAGCTCCTGTCCGAGTAGTTAATGGTGAGGGAGAGTTGGAGCTGCAATCCAACTGCAAGTTGGAGCTGCAAGTTGAAGGCCCATGTGTGCCCCATCCCTGCTCTGGGGACAGCAGATAATTTCATGTCTAAAAGAACCAGCTGACCTTCATTTCACCTCAACTTTAGTAGGGAAGAATGAGAGAAATGATTTCTTGGGAAACTAATTCAAAGCTAACATTTTTGAAAAATTAACCCCTCCTTACTGCCATAAGTTAATTCTACAATCATATACTAATTTATCTGGGAGTTCGTCCCATTTACCTCAACATAACTTACTACTGAGTAGCCACACAAAGGACTGTACTGCTATAATGGGAAACATGTTAGCTTGTAAACAGTGCTGTGGCACCTGAGAAATGACTTGGATTATCCTTTAATGAATATCTGTACTTAATGGCTCATTTTAGATCCATCTCATGAAATAATCAGGTTTCCACAAAAGTCCTTGCAACAATAAATTTAGACTATTTAATGACATTTATATACTTATTCAGGAAAGGATTCAAGCAAGAAACCCTCTTAATATTAGAAAATGAAAAGTTGTCCACTAAGACTCCTTGCTTTTTTATGCAATAGTTAAAGTTGTGAAGTATATGTATGTCATATTAAAAACCATTTTCCCACAGCCCATGTAGCAATGATATGTATTATATTTAGCAATTTCTATCTTGCCAGGAATGCTTACCTTCTAATTCTAGAGATACAACAGCTGTGTCATCTTCTAAACCTTCAATCACTTCACATTTGTATTTCCCATAATCCTCCAGCATTATATTGGTGATCACAAGAGTTGCATCATTTTCAGAGCTTTTCCTTAGGAAGACTCTTCCTTGGTAATTGCCATAGCTCTTTCTGTGGTATCCCATTTCTACATAGACATCCACTTCTTTGAGGTAATCTGAGGTGAGTTTGGTCCACTTGACCCGAATTTTGTGGGCTCCTGAGTCAGATGATACGTAGTCACGGTAAAATTTACATGGCAGTGTAATATTGCCACCCCGGCGTGAGAAGACTTTAGTTTGTTCTGCTTTCACAAGGAGGTGAGGTCCATTTTCTGGTAATATATTGGAAAGAGAAAGAAACCAAAACATTGTTGAGCATGAACTGCTGTCCTACATTCACATATGAAACTAGGGATGCTGCAGAGCATGGGAGGGTGACCCTCAGGACAGAGCTGGGCAGCACAACAGTATGACCAGGTGGCTAACTGGGCACAGACTCAGATGTACCAGAAACAGAAAGTGGGAGCTAAAAGTGAATGGCTGTAGGTAACTTGATCAGTTAGGCAAGCCACACAATGAATAGCAAGTCAAGTTCACAAAATATGACACTATGCACTGATAACATTCAGAGCTGGAGCATTAAGGGCCCAGGGCTGAGTTCTATTTTGGAGAAGTTAGTGTCTCACTCCAGAGATAGGTTGAATAGGGGCAGGGTTAAAATACCAGCATATCTTGCATGGAAGCATTTTTTGCTCCTGGAACAGCAATTCTGTGACACATGTATAGTGTCGTAACCATAATCTCCCAGGCCTGGACTGGCTTTTAGACCACGGGCCATGTTGTGCACTCTTGAATTCAGGAAGAAGTACCTTGAATCTTGGCCTAGTTAGTGTGAGAGAAGGATAAATGCTGGAAATCTTGCAGAAGGTCAGACATTTTGCCCTTAAAGAAATTAGGCATAACAACCCTGCAAGCAGGATGACCCATTGTTCTGAGACACCTAGAAATTACCTCACCCATAGTACCTAGCAAACACAGACAAAGGACTCATCTCTTAGCCAGACCAACAATAGTTGAGGTAATCTAGAAGCAATCAAGCACTTTCCAACAATTAGGATATGTTTGGGAAACTCATCTTTCCCACAGACACATGCACAGAGATATAGCATGAGGATCAGAGCTTAGGAAAAAGATACACAAGCTCTGCACACAACCTCTGGATACTCAAGCTCTATACACAGGCTGTAGACACACATGCTCTGATTGCAAGCAAAAACATGCTCTGAACACAATAGGAAGAGGGAGGAAAGCTCTGAACACCAGACTGTGCCCCCCACCCCCTACATAAGGCTGCTTATGAGAGTCTTCCCAGTGGGACAGGGTATGGACTCCTCTCTCTCTCTCTCCCTCTCCCTCTCTCTCTCTCTCTCTGATAGACCACCCCTCTCTCACAGTAAGATTGGGATACAACTAGACTGTGCTGTCTAGGCTACATTGGGTTAAAAGCTTGTGCCTGTTCTATATTTTTCTGAATAACAGACTTCCTTTCCTTCTACATGCAGTATTTGTGTGAATGCAAAACCAGAGTTTGTTCTTTCTAGCTGCATGCATCAAACCCCAGCAAAAGATCCCACACCTTGCAAGGCAATCTAGAGAGCAAGCACCTCCTTTTGAGGTATATTACTCCCCAGGATTACCTGGTGTAACAGTTCTAATCCATAGGTTTATTGGCTGGAGAGAGCTGAAATAAAGAAGGAGTGCTGTACTGCCGACAGAGATTATCTCTGGCCGGCCCACCAAAGTCCTGTGGACATAGATCTACCACCATTGGTGGTACAGGGTGGAGTTCAAACCACTGGCAGGAAATTGGATAAGAGAGAACTGCCTGAGAGCCACCATCCTGTCTTTCACCTTGGCCAACACAAACTTTACCACTTTATTCCTCCTCACCTTACTTAGAAACCCTCTGTAACATTTCCCCCCTTTTTAGCAACCAAAATTAGACAGCTAGCTTATTCTGTCAAATGACAGGTCCAGGTCTTGCAGAACATTTGACCAGCGCTATAAACCTTGTCTGAACAAAGGTTTTGACAGATGAAAATAAAAGGCAATTAAAGTGATGCCTGGTTTTTCATCAGAGTTTAATGGCTCTAATCTAGTCTTGAGTATAGAAACAAGGCGTTCCCTCACTGCTGGCTATGGAAGGGGAAATCTGCCTTCGTGCTCAAGGAGCTTCATTTGACACACACAGTAAATGGAATGCAATTTCTCAATTTAGTCTAGTAATTGTATTATACTGCATCATTGGACAGTAACATTATATTTTAATCTAGTATTTTACATTGAAGGCTAACCCATAATAATTTAATTGCCTGTGGCAGGACTACAATGAATTTAGCAATTATAAAGTTACAAATAGTGTAAATTTATCAGCCTTTTACATTGTACAGAATGGATGCATAGAGGCCTTTGCATTTTTAAATATTTTAACAGCTTGATCCGGTCAATGCTTTCCTAATTCTGAGAAGGAACCTGGCACAATGGTACAGAATATGCAACAGAATACCACAGGTTCAGTCCTTGGTATGTCCATGTTGGCAGGGAAAGACTCCTGCCTGAAACCCTGGAAAATTGCTACCAATCAAATGATACTGTGCAAGATGGATCAGTGATATGACTCAAGGACTGAGTTCACATGACACAACAACCCATTGCAGGTTGCTACCCATGATGGATTGCCACATAATGTGAACATGGACCTATTTCAATAAGTTCAGAACCCATGGGTTCACATAGGGCTTGCAGTGATGATGGGTTGCGTGTCATCTGAATCTGGCACCATTGTGGGCATGGGAAATCCATTGTGGGCATGGGAAATGCCCAACTAATGCCATTGTGGGCATGGGAAATCCATTGTGGGCATGGGAAATGCCCAACTAACGCCATTGTGGGCATGGGAAATGCCCAACTAACGCCATTGTGGGCATGGGAAATCAGCTACTATGCCCCTTGCTGCCCTTACCAAATGGCTCCAAGGTGACTGCCAGTGCTCAAGCAGCACTTGGGGGCAGTTGGGCAGCTGGCACTGGCTTCTCCATTCTGGTCACCATGATTACAAGCCATGTTGGGGCTCACCACAACTTTCCCCCCCCAGAACTTCAAAAGCCAGTTTTCCAGCCAGCTGGTATCTTTAATTGATAATATGCAGCTGTTACAACATTTCTATTATTGTTTTGTGTAGCAAATTGCATCAGAAACTTAAACTATGTTCAGCTACACTCACACAACTATGAACACTTGCAGTCGTGTGAGTATAATGCTCTGAAGCATTGGCTGGGGCAATATGCAGGGTGCATGCCCTGCCAGTGCGCATGGAGTTTGTTCCTTTTCTGGGAAAAAAGGAGTTTTGATAGCTAGCTGGAGTTCTGACTGTACAATGCCTTTTTCCATTCACTGAGATATATTCCACCATATGTCCCAACCAAAAAACCCCACTACATGTCAAAACTCATTTTAAATGAACTCAACAGTTTTGACAGCCACCTGCCAAAATTGTCAAAACTCCTTTTCCCCAGAAGCTGAGGTCTGAAATCTTTGTTGTACTCATACAACTCATGCAGCCATGCAGAATTCTACCACACTCAGTATTTTGTAGAAAACCAACTGACAAGGGAGGCAAAACCCTTGGTTGCTTTTTGTGATCATGCTAATGTGTTCACCATCTCTTGCCCATGCCCACCACCCATGCTATAAAAAAAAATCTAGAAGAGAGAGCACTGGAGATTGTCACAAACATGTCCACAACATTTTTCTTTTCTTCTTTTATCAATGTGCACAAATATGCGTATCTTTACCAATACTCATTTTGAGGAGCAAAACAAGCTGGTGACTGCAGGGGAGGAAGCTTTTGCACTGGGTGTAAGTATTGCAGTAGTACCTTCAGCAGACTTTTACAAAAGTATTCACTAACAAGGCAAGTTCTGAAGTGGAATATAAAATCAACAAGGACATTGACAAGTTGGTATGCTAGGATAAATAGCAAACAGGTAGTCTCACACTCCTGCACACTTGTGAAAGACACATAAGTAAGTTAAAAATAAAAATGACAAAGAAATCCTCACATCTGTAAGGAAATTTAATCAAAAAATTAAATGTGCCTGGTGATTTGATGCCAGGGCAGGGTTTTTCCTTGTGAGCCAGCAACAGCAGAGGGCCAGTTGTAGAAAGGGTGCTGATGCAGCGAATGAAGGAAGAAGAATTTCTGAAGCAAAGCCTCCTGGAATACAAGCTGGGAATGGGTGGGAGGATTAAGGAAGAAACAGCTCAAGAAAAGCTGCAGTGTGCCCAGTCATCTGTCAGGAGTAACATGGGTTATCAAGAGGACAATCAAACCCAGAGAACAAGCTTACCTTCAGGGTGGCTGCGGGCGATGTGCCAACTCACCCAGTATAACACTACCTTCTATGTTTCTCAGCAAGACATACAACCAAGTGATCTTGTATATAGACCTGCAGACTTCCAAACAGTGACATGCAGATGCTATGTCTTCCCCCTCTCTGTGAAATAATTCCCTATGTTGTTTCTTTTTGGTAAGCTGCCTTTAGTTCAAGGAATACAACCCAGAACTATGCTAAATAAATGCCTTGAGCTCTTTCTTCTGTGTTAGACTTAACTCATTGCTAGTTACAAGAGTAAGATTAATTTTTGTCAGGTAGTAACTTCTAGTATTCTAGTCTAGTAACATTGACACTTAGCCATCAATGTCAATGTGTATATATGGGTCAGCCAGGCCAACGGTTCTTTTCAAAAACCTTAAAGGCTGAATAGACTGTCTGAATCATAAGTATTTCATAATACGTTTTTGTCTTGGGGAAATACCCAGAACTGAAAATGGCAGACAGCCCAGCTAGTAGAGTAATTCCTCCTGTAGTACTCTTGTGATCCCTGTTCATGCAAACATATTGCAGAAACCTTAGACTGAGTTGCAGAGAGAGCTGTCATTAGTGATACTGAGGACTGCAAGGTACTGAGCCACCCAACCTCAAGTTTTACTTTCCCACACGTGCAAGACTCATATGCTGTATCCGGAAACTGATTCCAACTGAGTCAGTTAATGCAGAAGTGCCTTCCTTAAGGGCTGCCTGCCTCCCATATGTTATCTTAAATAACTATTCAGTTAAAGGAACACAGCAGATGGAATTATGCAAGCAAGATTAGCAAGGAACCAATAAGAAAAAGGGTCTTGATAGGAATAAGGTAGGTAGTGAGTGACACATAGACACAGCCCTCTGAATCAACAAAATGCACTAGAGATATCTGTGGCCATACACAC